TTCTTCAACTGGATTCGCAATTTCAGTTCTTTATCGGCTGGCGCTGGCCCAGAGTTGACGAAGCCATGGGCCGGCGTCGTGCGTGACTCGTGGACTGCCATCGCGCGGCGGGTGGGACCCGCGGCGGCGGAAAGCGCGAGCGCAACGAGGAAAAAGGCCCGAGCGAAGACCATAGCTGGTGAGGCAGGAGGGTGGGCACGACAGAAAGCAGGGTATTCGTGAAGCTTTTATAGCTGTTGCCCTCCCATGGTGAAGTCACCAGTTAGCCTTTGAGGCGCGTGTTGTCGTGCTCAAGAGAGCTTCTCCATCTTCGGGGGGAATGGACAGTTATTTTTAGGACGGTGGAGTTGCTATCCGGGCTTGGCAGGCGAAGCATGTTTTGGCATTGACGGGCACGATAACCCGAATGCTGTTGAGCGATACACGCGACTGTAGAGATCATCTGGTCGTGGACGACAGCGATATGCCCACATTGCCTGTGCAACCGTCAAAAGCTGAAGAAGGTTTGACAGTTCTCAGATATAGTCTGTGTGCTATTTGGGGCGCACCTTGTGCTGGCACTCGCACGCGATAAGCAGGAAGCAGGAGACCCGCCGCAAGCTAAAGATAGACCAATTTGACTTATATGTCGCCATCTCCTCGGCGTCCCGCTGGTATTGACACGGGCCGGAACGGTGTCTGTTGGCTTCTTGACTCTTCCTTTCAGCTTGGCCTGTGGAGCGAAATATCCTGAGGCGACAATATGCATTGCGCTCCGCCGAAGTAAAGGCGAAGCAACGATTTTCGCGGTGCGAGTACGGGACCAGAACGAAAGTCGGAGCAAGTGGAGTCGTGGAGTAATGCGCCGTCGAAGTTTCGAAGATGGAGTCAAGGAGAGAGATGGCATGATTCAGAAGTCGTGACGTGGCTTCTCGCACGTCACGCGGGTGATCACATCAATCGGCAAAGATGAACACCGGGTCCGGCTCCGGCGGGTCGTGGGTTAATTGTTGAAAGGAACAGTTATCCTGAGTTCCTCTGGATCAATACTACTGACAATGCCAATTCAGACCAACTGCAGTGCCACCGCAGCAGTGGTCTAACTTCCAAGTCAAATATACTGACCTGCAGAGCATTGGCAGAGCACTACTAGTATGCAGTGGTCCCTTTACTTTTATAAAATACCTTTCTCACACTGGGTGCAAACCCAATGGCAGTTTGCTAATGGGAGACCCAATGGGGAGTGGAAAGAAACACAAAGCTTTCTTTATTTCTTACAAACTTGAAGGAAAAATATTTTAACTTGAAGGAAAAATATTTTGCTTTCAAACTCCTGTTGGACCCCCCTTAGCCAACTGCCATTGCCTTTGCTACCAGTGTCATAGGTATCACACTGTAAATTGTATCTTTCAGTATGGCTGAAGATGATGCTATTTGTTAAATTGTTATATATCTTCAGAGAGTACTGAAATTAGCACTGAAAACAATACTACTATTAGTGTAAGGGCAACCCCCAGAGGCTCTGACAAGAGTCCTAGCAGGGGAGGATACAAAGTATGAATAGGACTACAGGAAATACATAGAGGGACTGATCTAGCAGGGGGGGATGCAAAGAGAAGACACTCTAAGGGTCTGGCTGCTAGGGTGCTAACTATATACTGGCCATCAATAACTGCTGATGTAGAGTGGAGAAGGCCTGAGCAGCATCGTAGGCTCTGTCCCAAGGTGATCATTGGGAGGGTCTTGACAGATCAGTGATTGTGCAGACAAAGGAGGCTGTGGGCAACGGGTCTGAGGGGGTGCTGGTTGGATGGGCCTTGGAGGGAGACTTCACATATGGGTGTGGCTAAATGGTGTGGGTGTGATGTGGGTGGGCGTGGGCACTCCTTCAGGCTCCATCTTGGGATTCAAATCACTCAATGGCTGTTGGCTTACCAGCCCCTGCTCAATGCTATGTATTGACTACAGTCAGCATCTGTGAAATCTGTCTGATCATCATGCGGGATGATGCCAAGATTGGTGAAGCAGGTTCAGGCTCAGGGGGTGTCAAAGGTGGTGCTTGCCACTGCTAGGGTGGTGCTCAGCACTCCAATGCTATGGTTAGTTGGCCACTCCAAGAGTACTTAAGGGGAAGCATAGGCAACTGATCCCTCCCCTGCCCACGTCTCTGTGCCAGGCCGGCCAGTGTCCACCACAGCTTGCTCTCCTGCCTGTCATGGATAAGACCCGCTCCGGCACTGGTGTTGGGCCATCGCGGGCCCACAACACGCAGCACGTGACAACAGGGAACATGCGCCCCAGTAGGAGGAACACACACGTGGGAAGCATGTGACCGAGAACGATGCGTCGAGCCATTGCTGAGCTCAACTCGACACCAGGGGACTGGGGAGGAGTGCTAGGAGGTTATGAGTAGCGCCTGGCCTGCGAGGGATGTACGATCATCCCCTTTGTGGCCAGGAATGGGGGCGAGGAGGAGCAGGAGAGGCCAGGGTGTCCGATCACCCCCTTGCGGACCCATGTATATAATGCACGATAGCATACCATACTGACCCATTTTGATCAATTCAGCGGGCCTGTGACCCGTGACCGTTTGGCCGAAATGTCCAATTCGGCCGCAGGCCGAATTTCGCGTGACCTACTACCCGATTAGGAAGTTCAGCGCGCAAAATCTTCCCGATTGGGACAGTTTGGGACCAAAAGATTTGGCTGTGACCTGTGACCCGCCGAAATATTTCGGCCAAAAAATCCGATGTGACCGTGACCTGCCTAATTGAATGAAATAGGTCAGTATACTCTATTGCTTAGATCATCTGAAGAACTACTTCTCTCCATGCAAGGAGGAAAACACTGACTTATCGGTCCCGACACGACCCGATTCAAACCCTCGACTACCGACAGTGACAAGGGACCGCCCGACCCGCAGTCTGACACTGCCCTGTGTTCTCTTTACCAGTGCACCGGTAACATGTGCGTGCTGGTGCTCAGAGGTTCACAGGCAGGGCCCGACTGGCCTATATCGGTGGCCGCACGGTTGGCGGATCTCATTGCCGATTGAGGATGCTATGCCTTGGCCACACCCCTCCATCTGGTGTGCCTAGGGATGCCAGCCATTGCCGTAACGGCAATGGCCGTCAATGTGACAGGTGGGCTATGGCGACGGCCGTTGAAATCACGGCCGTCAGAGCCCATAACAGAGAGCCCGACGGTACGGGACAGGCAACGGGACGGCCGTAACAGTTACGGGATGGCCGCCGGCTCTGATTGCATCAATTGACCACAATATCACTGTTTTTAGACCCGATATGGCTGATAAATGACCCGCTGTCATGAATGCAGCTCCAGATTAGGCTCGACAACACATGCTGACCTTCGGCCAGGCCGGGCTAGGGCCCGGCGTGATGCGACAAGGTTACATCATCTCTTTCGATGGGACTGCGGAGGGGGTCGGGAAGTTGGTATGCACCTGGCACATTGTCCATTTGTTGCTGCCTGCAAAGTTATTGCAGATCGGCGGCAAATCACTGTTTCAATGGTGAGTAAACAGATGATTTGCTCTATGATACCCATTGACCCGTACCAAGGGCCGTCGCGGCCGTAATTCGACGGCTGTTACAGCCTACACCCGAACCGTAACCGTCCTGTCCGGGACTTCACCAGAAGCCCCGACGGTACGGTAACGGCTACCCGTTGATGGGTCCCGTCGACCCGGGGCTACGGCCACAGGCGGCATCCCTAGTATGGGTTTTAATTATGAGTACTGTCAATTCTAAACCCCAAAAGACTTATATATTTGCTCATTATGTTTGTAATCTATACCCATATCCGTGTGGGTAAAACCCATATACCCGTGCGCACTGATCGACTAAGGGCCCCTTTTTTCGGGCCGTGTGGGTATGCCTGACCCGTTCTATTACCTACATATAAGTGAATATTCTTTGGTGCAAATAGGGTCCGGATACAGAAAAAAATCTCTTTTTTGGCTTTCTCAACATACTATAGTAATTAGACCTTAAGTTCATACCATCTTACATACATATTTATTTCAGCTACAATTAAGTTCATCAATGATGATCAGCGCATCAATTTCCTTATTTGGTATGCCGGCAATAGCCAGCGGCAAAATTTTGATGATATCTGTGAAATTTGATAGATTTTGATGCATAATTTCTATGTTTACACATTACACATTTGCACAAGTTCAGTTTGGGGAGGTCTCTCACACATTACTCGAACTTAAGGTCTAATTACTACAGTAGAATATCATGATCCAAGATTCCAAGTTGCTATAGTATGATAGCATAGTCCAGCATAGTTCTACCCATTTATGATCACAAACTAAATACTGGGACCAGTCAATTCTCAGAGACCTGAGTGCTCATAGCTTTTGCCTCCCACTGGCAGATAATCTTGTGCTCTCCAAGTCTGCCTTTGTTCCTCACATGGAACAGTGATTCTGACAGATTTTCATTGCATGTACCAGTACTCAAATTGAACTTTGCTATCAACAGAAGGATTTTTTTTTTGCCAGTAAACCTCTTTGCACCCCCAAGGGCCCAAATTCAGGTCCTGTTCGAATCTCATGAGAGTGTCTGGTGTCGTGAGAGGCTGTGTACCAAGACTATTGCCAAGCTTTACAACACTGCCGGACGAGAAGACCAAAGCCGATTACAGCCGATTACGTGTCCGATCGGCGAATCGAGCTCCTACACAGAGGGCGGCGAATCAACCATCAGCAATATATTATGTTCTGAGTTTTGAGATGCAAGACCGACGCATTTCCTCAGTCAAGCGTAAGGACTTTGACTTCGTGCGTTAGGAAGAACGCCCTTATGGCTGATGTAAATAGTCTTGGCCTCAGCGACGCGGACATGCGGAGTTGGCTGGTAAGGATCGGTGTCGATTTCCCGGTTTCCGTCCCGGCGATGTGCACAATGGCGTTCCCAGGGGGGGGGAACAAGCAGCCGTGGGCCGTCCGTTTAAATAGCAGACTGGGTGCCACTGTCAATTCCCACCCGCGCAGTATGCATTTCTCCCTCACCACCGCCCTCTCCGCGCTCTTCCTCGCCTCGTCCGCCTACGGAGTCGCCCAGATCCATTGGCACATCGGGGCCGACTGCACCGGCGAGCTCCTCGGGACGCACCACTCCATCCTCCCCGGCGACTGCCTCTCCTTCGACCAGGGCCGCAGCGCGCGCAGCGTCTCGTGGGAAGAGTTCTACGGCGAGGAGAAGATCCAGGGCCTCCGCCTCTTCCAGTCGGGCGGCGCGAACGACGGCTGCGCGGGCGACTTCCAGCTCGAGAGCAACTCGACGTCGGGCTGCGTGACGGCGCCACCAGGGTGAGTGTCGTGCCGCTCGTGCTTCCGCCATCGACTGACAAAAAAATGTGTGTAGCGTCAACTGGCAGAGTGTCAAGCTTACCTGAGGGAAGTCGCACTACTCTGAGCCCCGCAATTAGATGACCGTGCATGAGCGTAATTACATACCACACAACTAGATCATCTTGGGAATTCACAAGTCATTCGTTCGGCAGATAACAAGGCATTTTGGGCTGCTCGCGGGCTGAATATTTAAGGAACTATGCGGTAAATCCAAGCCATGTTGACTGTTACTAGTACATTTTGCTCGCTGGATTAAAGATTAGTGTAGAGACTTCTACAGGCGGTGCAAATACACACCTATTTCGACTTCTTTGCGATCACTCGACCCAGAGCCCCTCCTTCTTGTGCCAGCTCTCCAAACTCTCCGGCCCATACACGTCGTACACGTCCTTCGGGCCCTCCGGAAGGCGCACATACGCGGGCTTCCCCGCCGCGCACGCCACCGCCATGCGCTCGGGGACAACCAGCTCCGGGTCGTCGATCGCGGACGCAAACGGGTGGATGAGGTCCGGCCTGCAACGATATCAAGTCGGTCACCCGACAGCAACGAATGGCCCACCATTCCGGCGACCAAAGCCACAGCATGCTCGAGCACCTCCCGCAGAAGCTGCGCTCGGACGTCGCGGTGCGCTCCTCCGGCGTATCGCGGTCCATCACCGCCCTGTACACCCTGCCCCGGCGACGTCAGCTCTGCCCGGGCCAGGACGGCAAATTGGCAAGCGCACCGGATGTCCTCCTTCCCCTGCTCGATCTGCAGCGTGGCGTTGTGCCCGCCGAGGTTCACCGACCCGCCGTAGCCGCCGACCTTGCGGCAGATCGAGCACACACAGAGCTGCCCTATCGATTAGCTACCTGCACTTGAAGACGGTAAGCGCACCTGGTACGGCACAGCGCTGCTGCTGTCGACGGCGAAGCGCACCGCGCCGCAGTGGCACGAGCCTTTCAGGTGGACGGGCATCGTCAGTAGGTTCCGAAATGTGCGATGTGGTGGGAGGCAAGAAGGGCCAGTGGCGGTGCTAGCATGTGATCATGCGATTATGTCAACTCTTATGACTGAACTTCGATTGGGGCGCCGGAGACGATGCCACGGCCCGTGCAACGTTGCGCCAGGAGAGTCAATGGTCTACGAATGGATGCGCGTCGTCGGAGGTCGGACGTGGGTAACATCAAATTGTCAACAAGAATGGTCATTGACAATGACAGAACAGTGACGTGGCAGGCCGCCGCCTTTCTCGCGAGCCGTCATGTTGGCTCCCTACAGACACTCGTCGTCGGCCTCTCCTCCGCATCCAACTGGTCACCAGCCAAGGCAGTTGGGACTGAAAACTGTACCTCGAAATGCCGCGGCCCATCTGTGCGTCTGATTCCTTGAATCCGAATCTCCTTTATTCCAAATCGGCTGACTCTTCTTTGCCAATGGACGCTCCCGATCAGGACAAGAAGCCCCAGCGACAATATCATTCGGCACCCCCCACCCACGGCCCGGGGGCCAAGAACAACTCGCGACACATGTGTGCCAGTGTCTTCGATTGACCGCGGAAGATGCCTCTCCCTGGACCCGACATCGCGAATATCTGCCACGGGCTGCCATTCGTGCAATTCCCAGCCTGAGCCACGTATATATTCGATGCGCGTCGGGGTGCACCGCTCATGGCTCCCTCCCGACTCTCCCTCCTCGTCCTGCTGGCGGCTGGATCGATTGCAAGCTCGCTCGCTGAGACAGAATGGTACACTCGGAACCGAAACACCATCGAATCTATCTACAACCGTGCGTTGCTGAAAAGACGCGTCATTGCCTGACTGATTCTTCCAGTCACCGTGTACCCGCACAACCTCGCTGTCCTGAATGGGAGCATCCCGCCGGGCCTCTTTGACGACAACGCGAACGGGCGGATCACGCCGGTGGGCGAGTTCTTCGGGTTCCAGGACTCCGTCGAGTACTTCTGGGGCCTCGCGCCGGTCCCCTCCGGCCACCCGCCCAACGCCGTCTTCGCCAGCGCCGATGTCGTCCACTTCGTCTCCGGCTGCCCCGAGGTCGCCGCCAGCACGGTATACTTCACATACAAGACCCTCAATCCCGATAACACACCCGGCGCCTTCGTCACCAAACTGAAACAGGTCGCCTTCTGGCACTTCGACGCGGCTGGCGCGGTGCTTGCGTACGATGCATGGATTCCAAACATCCAGAAGACCGTCGGACACACACAGCCTGGTGGGGCCACCCCCGCTGGGCGGAACGCTACTATCTCAACTCTCTGCACAGCGCAAGCTACGACCTGCGTGGGCGACAACGAGGTATATGCTGATGCAGACGAGTGCGTCCACATCCTCGGCCAACGTGACTTCGGCGACTGGGACGACGTCTGGGGGGACAACGTCGTGTGCCGGCTGATCCATGCCCGCCTCGCGATACTCCGACCCGAGGTACGCAGTGCATTGTGTGCAGTAACACTGCCAGATCCCTCACACTGACACACATCTCAGGTGCACTGTGTTCATGTCGGGCCCACGGGTGGCGGTAAGTGTGTTGACGTAGAGTATAACGACGTGCGTGCTGTATGAGTGTTCTATTGTGGCTGACCTTATAATACCATAGGTCTACTACAACGACGAGCTCGTCTTCGGAGAGCATGGCGCGGCAACATTCGATTGCGGGACTTACCGTGACTAGCATTATATACCAAGATTGTAAAATTCATCAATTTTCACTGGGGGTCTGGACAACAAGAAATATTTGAGTCTACCCTTAGCGTATTTTACACATTGCATATGACAAAAGTCACGAAACTCCACATGATTTCCAGGTGGCGATCACCAAACCTGGGTGAAATTATGCCAGTAGAAGTTGGGATTAGAGATCATCGTCTTGTGGTTTTGTGACAGAATACTTGCTGGTTTTAGATCACATTATCTTGCCTTGATACTCTTTTTGGAAGTTTTGGCCAAAAGTCTGATTATTTCTTTGATTATTATTTTGTATAAAATCTTTTATTAATACCGGTCAGTTTGGTCACCACCTTGGTCACTCTGTTTAACATGATGTCACCAAGAGGCTTTATCCTTTGTGATGCACCCTTTGTAGTATGTGATATTGTCTCTTTATTTTGTCGCACCACCCAACACTGACCTACCCAATGCCCGTAGTCCTTCATGTGCATTGAGACATACAAATGAGTGGCAATTGCTAACTACATACATTTTCAATAGTCCTTCTGTGGCCTTTATGAACAAGGGTGTGTCATTATTCGAAAAAAAAACGGATATACTGTCGAAAGACCCCCTCCCTTACCATATTGGGTAATATATTCCCATGATCGCTCATCATGTGACCTAATGATGCGATCAAAAGTGGCGATAAATTCATATTTCCAGTTAAATTCATTAAAATACCATTACTTATTGATATATAGGACTTGAGCCTTCACAGAGTCCCGACTCCCTAGTAGACCATCTATATGTAAGCAGCAGGGATTTTGTATATCCACCTTGCAAAAATAGTACAAAAGTAGTGCAAAGCCAACATCAGACCTACCAAATCCCCCCTCCCCCCTAAAAAACATTTATATAGCAAAAGTTTTTCAAGGGCCTTCACCCCGATCCCATGTTCGTAATAAGCATCTTAACAACATCCCCTTGTTTATGAATGGATGCTAAACAATACCAGTGCTTTTTGTGTTCGTAATAAGCATCTTAACAACATCCCCTTGTTTATGAATGGATGCTAACCAATACCAGTGCTTTTTGTACTTTCTACAGTTCGAGATGGCCAATCCTCCAGCTCAATCTTCTTCTCTTGGAGCTGTAGCACCATCTGAAACACCCCCTGCCACCTTAGTACCCTCCTTTGCTCCACCTAATTGTGAAATAGGTAGAGACGAGCAGGCTGATGATGATCATTTGGAGGTGGATATAATAGAGGTTAAAGAAATAGTTATTGATGTCAATGCTTTCTCTTTCTCCTTTGCTTCAAATAACAATTGAACAAATAATTATTGCCAACTCTATCAACACTTAGTCTAACTGAGAGGCTACAACAACATTGACCTTCAGGACCTTAGGATGTAATAATCTAGTTATTCTTACTCCTTATAATACTTTCAAACGAGTTCTGACGGATACTCAGTAGGAATTTTCGACTTCTCAACCCAAGCAGCTATAGGAGCAATATGAACTATTGACATCACATCCAGTTTATTGCAACACAGAATGGAGTCTAACCTATATCTTTGTCTTAAGCTATCCCAGAGTGCAACCTGACTATATGCCAGAAGGTGTACTGCACTTGAATATTGCTGCTTTTAAAGATCAACTTATCAATTGCCTACTCAATACAATTCAGAAATGTACATCACCAAATAAGTGTTGATGGCATAAGACTCTTGTGACGTGATTGTTACGTCTATCATCTGTTAGAAGTTGCTCGAACGTGTAGATGGGGTTATAAATGACTTATAAGGAGATCTCGAAGTTGGTAATATCTTGTAAGCTTTCTATAAGGCTTGGAAAGCCTTGGACCATCCTATAGTCGCTTTCTTAGGTTATAATCACAGACAACCCTCACGATTTTGCGTACTATAAGCTTATAAAAATGTTTTTTGTTGCCTACTATATTTTTCTCAAGAAACCTTACTGTCCCATTTCGATCAAGTGTCCGGCACTTTTTCGAAATTTGGGACCAAAAATTTTTCTTTTAATTTATGGTAATTTTCACGAGGACTTTTTTGGTCAATGTAACGCGTAACGCGGACAGTTGACCTAAATAGGACAGTACCCTCTATTTTAGAGGCTTTTCATACTGCGAACCATTATAGGCCGTTGAGAAGCTAGATATGCCTTATGCTACTTATATGTTATTGTATGTTGAAGCCACTTCTTCTGATTGAAACTCGCAACACACATATGATCATTATAAAGTCCAAGTGATAGACAGGTAGGTAGCAGTATTGTATATTACAGGCAGTTAATTGTAAGGGCAACCCCAGAGGCCTGAGATCAAGGTCCTAGCAGGGGAGGATCCAAAGCGTGAACATTGGTAAGCGAATACAAATGAAGCTGACCTAGCAGGGGAGGATCCAAAGAGAAGAAACTCTAAGGGTCCGCCTGCTAGGGAGCTGACTATATCCTGCTTGTCCGTAGCTGCCGCTGTCAGGCACAGAAGGCTTGGGGCGGCGTCGCAGGCGAGGTCCCAGGGCGACCGTTGGGAGGGCGTTGACGGATCGGTGATTGTACGGGCGAGATGGAGGGCCGGACTGGAGTCGGAACCGGAATCGGACCGGAGTCGGACGCGTCTCCGAGGGGCCGAAAGGGGGGTTCCCTGACATTAATGAATGTCATCAATCAATCAAGGGCATGAAAGTAGGGAGAGTGATAAAAGAATGGGGGATCGTGTCTGGTTAATCTGTTCGACAGTGACTTCGACAGGAACCCTCCACCAAGGGTATTCTACTATGACGCCAGCCGCTATCCCGTTGATGGTCGATATGCATTCTTGTTTAATGTCGGGGTCCCGGATATTGTTAATGGAAGAGGTCGCCTCAGGTGTGCTCGATGAGGTGGTCAGATTTGCTGGAGGCTGAATCAATGTGATATCCTCGCTATGAGGGGTCGAAGCGACACTGGTAGAGGCAATGCTGGAGCCATTGCTTCGCCGCCCACAAGATTTGACCATCCGGTAGGCCCCTCCATGGCCAGGTCCACGAGCATGTGCCAGTGCCTGCAACACAATATATTGAGATGATGTAGACTGAGAAAACAACACACTCACTGTAGTTGGATGGTAAAATCCATGTTGAACATTTGTCATCGTCGGAAGGAAGCTCTGCGGCGAACTGACGGGTGAGTAGAACCTCTGAACAGTGGTGTTGCTGGTGGCCTATGCTGGTTCAGCATTGGGTTTGCCATTGGGAGCGATGTGTAAAACGCTGTTGCCAGCTTGCCCTGGACCATGTAAAGGCACTTGATTGAGTTCGACGCTAAATCCATTGTTGAGTGTGTGGTTGGTACCGTAGTAATTGGCCAAGGAGGGAAAGAAGGTGTGCTCCGGGTCAAAGCCAATCAGATAGTCATTGAGAGAGATAGTATGGTCATTTTCATGCAGCAGTTGACCACCGTGAAGGTCGTAGTCTGAATCGTCGTACATGAGAGGAAAGAACAGGAAGAAGTCACCGTCAGGGACTCGGGCTCGAAGTAGGTAAATCATTGGCATCGCACAGCGTCCACCATCACTTTCGTAAATCATCCATTTCTCGAGAAAGTAGAAGAATTTGCAGACATTGACGTGTTCCATTAATAGTTGCACTGCTTGGCTTGATCTTATCAATCATCATCATGTCTCTCTCTCAATGTGATTTGAGCTCGAGTTCTTCATCCATGAACTCAGAGTCTACTCTGTCTCACTCATCATACCTACCATCATTACTGATCCCGACTATCATAGTGTGCCAGACTAAATTTATAACTTTTGCTTGAATGAGAACAGAAACTCAACTATGACAATTGGACGGTTCGAGCACCTGCCATAATAGCAGAAGCCTATGATATAATGCATATTCTTCAAGCTCATCGCCAGAGTTGTATTACGGAGAAAGCTGCCGCTGAACAACGACTTCACGAATTGATTCTCTCCGTCAATTATCTGTGGACTCAGGTCGACCAAGGTGATTAATGAATTAAGGAGGTGGACATTGACACAGGACACATCCATTGGGTTATAGCCTTGAAGGGGTTGTCTGGAACTATATCTTGTCGTGAATATGTAGCTATCTCGTCCGAATAATAAGTACTTCCTGTGTAACAGTATTCCCAGGATGTGCACTCAGTTTTACTAATAAAACTGTGGCTACTGGTGAAGGGCTGTACTCATAAAACCCGGGGGAGCTCATGACAGCCATGGCCGGAGTACTGTGACAAAAAATGTGACATTCAATCAGTTGTGAATATCTCAATGAGTTTGACAGCTATGACTAAGATATTACCAGATATAGAAAGGCAAATCACCATTGTTTCAGGCCGAAGACCCGGATAAACATCTAGGTAGGCCTGTGATCTAGGGCAAAGGTATACATCCTAATTAGGCTAAAATTGATGTATCCTGATATAGCCGTCAATGGTACTGATGTCCATCAAAAATCGTTCCACATTGATCACTTTATCTTGATGTCATCAATCCCACCATCAATACTATGATCTAACACCCAAAAATGAATAAAATGGTCTTTTAAAAAGTGTGACATTTGTGACCCTTGAGCCCTTCCCCAGGTTTTATGAGTACGGCCCTTCACCAGTAGCCACGTTTTTATTAGTATTCCTGAGTGAATGAGCTGGTATTCCAAGTCTTTTCCTCCTTATACAGGTTTCACTTCGTTGTGTGTGCACAATGAGAGAGTCGGACGATAAGATTGCGATTAAAATGGAAAGATTTATTCTCGCAGCAATGAAAAAAAAAAAAACATGCAAAAGTTGTGAATCAGAAAGCCATTGATTGTCTATTCTAGGAGTTTGAATTAGATCTGTTTTGAAGGCCATCAAGAATACGGTAATACCTAAGAGGTACTTTTCCATATCTGTGATCTTGCATCTACCTAGCGCTTCCTTGTGCAACTTGTCCACCTCAGCCTCCAAGCTTTCAACCTGATTAGAGAGCTGGATATTCAAACCTCTTAGTTGCTGTTA